GTTTATTAGGTTACCAATAAATCCCTTCCTAAGCTCTTGCTTTGATCTCTCTTTCTCTCTATATCCCTAATGTCTCAAAACTCCAAGTCAATTACCCTTTCTCTACACCACCCCTGCACCATACCTCAAACCTCCATTGCAGCCCCATTTTGAAGCTATTCTCCAGGCAAAGGAACCACCAAACTCAGCCAAGAGTTGCCTAAAAGTTTTGATCTTCAAGTAAGCACCATTTTCCCTCTTTTTGAGCTTATTATCCTTCTAATCATTTTTTGCTCTATTTTGGGCTCTCGACCCCCTACTAGAATAGGCTATTTTGAGGCATTTTTCATGTTTGTTTAAGGGTATTACCTGTTTGAGTCTCCTTGTTGCACTTCTTCATTATCTCCTTGATGCCATCTTCTTGCTGTAGTAATTTTGGCTTATTTAACTGTTTTGAGCTCTATCATGAACTGACAAAGTGCTTATTGAGCCCTCCTATCAACATTGTGAAGGGCTCATTATCTGTTTGAGGCTTTCATTTATTTACTTGCTCTTTATATCTTTCTTTTGGCTCCATTTTTGCTATGATTTGTTAGCCTTTTCATGCTTCTTGTTTTTGAGCTTTGGTTCCAAACTAAAAATGCCTATTTTGACCCCCCATTCTTCATATCTTAGGGTCTTTCAACTGTTTTGAGCATCCATTATTTACTTTGTGTTAATATCTCTATTTTGGCCTTATTTTGCATAGCATTTTAGCCATTCTTGGTACACTGTTTGGGTCTCTCCACCAACTTTAAAATAATCTATTGGCCCCTCTTCAACATTGTTGAAGGTTCCTCATCGTTTTGAGGGCCAGCAGCTGTGGCTGTCTTTATCTCACATTAGGGCCATTTTTGCATGCTAGTTTTTGCCCTATTTTGTGTTGCTTATTTGCCTGCTTAAAATCGTAAACAGCTTTTTTGGGACTTCCTTGAAACTGTCCTTCACATGTCATAAGCAAAATAATGCATGCTTGATGTAGCTTACAGTCATTTCATGTGGTCTTAATCTTTGCATTTCGGGACCCATTTTCATGCATCGGCGTGCGATATTATCAGATTCGGGGCTTGTTTTGGCATCATGTTCCGCTTCTGAAATTTGCACATTTCATATCATATTTCATGGCCTGTCCATGTCTTGTTAGAGTGGCATTTTGGTGCCCAGAGGTCGGTCCTCGATTGGGCATGCGTGCACGCATCTCGAGTTCTCATTTCATCGCCAGTGGCCCTTTATGTGAGTGTGGGCTGAGTGTCCACTCATGTGGGTGTCAAGTCCATTATGCATTGTGTGATGCCATTTTCATGTTCATGCATTGCGTATGCTAGGTTGTATGTAGCGGCATTGTGTTATACCATGTACCTCGTGCATCGTGTACTAGCCCATTTCATAGCATGTTATGCATGCTAGGTTGTATAATATTAGTTGCATTCGATTGCAAGTCAGCATATTCCAGTTGTGCTTGGGATGAGAGTGATAGCCCGAGCACGGGAAATGATGGTTACGTTTCGTACTCCGAGTGACGGAACGTGTCCAATTTCCCACGTCCACCGACAGACTCCGTATTATCCGATGATGGAGTTAGGTTTAGTTGAGTTTTTCATGTGCATTCATTCTATATTGAGTAAGTCAAATCGACTCTCGCCATCATGCATCGATATGCTGTGACTTGGTGTGCTACGAGGGTATCGAGGCATAGGCATACATCCTCTGTTGAAAAATATACATGCTATTCCCTCTTCCCTGTCTCTGTTGCAGCATAATCAAGAATCAGCAGTTCTTTCCGGATTTGGCGTGGCTTTTCCAAGCAATAATTGCCAAAACAAGAGGGCTAATCTCGGGTTTGGTCATACTCCCAGATGGTATCCGCCAGCAAGGCAGCTTCACAACATACATCATCCAGAAGAGTCAAGGCAGTCCCTGGCTGCATGCCAGTTTATTATTTTTCTTAGTTAATTTGTAAATTAAATTAGGAATTTGTATTTATTGGGACTGTATTATTTGGACTGTACTATTCATCGACCCTCTGCGCGAGGGCGTAACTGTAATAAGTGTGCATGTGTAGTGATGTTTTCCACCCCCATGTCTTTCTCCCTTTTATTTACCCGCTTATGATAGGTTAGATTAGGCATGTTTAATTAGCATACAGTATGATAGCATGTTTGCATCATTCATCTGTTTTGCATGCACCGGGCTTGGCGCATCATACAACTGCATTTGTATTTCAATTTCAAAGTTGAATACTTGTTAGCTGTTTGCATTCTTCATATGCCATGTTGTAAATAGCAGCCTGCTATAGTTGCATTTTGCATGTGTTGCATTAGCATTTCTGTATAATTAGGATCATGCATGGATTTCTAATTAGCTTCTGTTTTGGCTTGAGTACTCGGTGAGTTTTTATACTTAGCATCCTTGCATGCGTGTGAGTGCTGCCATGAATAGCATGATTACCATGAGGCTATCTGCTTATGTGATATAACTGGCCTTGAATGCCTGTGGGTGAAGGGTGGGTTATTGGATTGAAACAATTCATTCACTGTGAGTTTTAAGCCCACTAGATAGTGGCAAAATCATCTTTTCTAAGCCCATCCGGAGTGGCAAATCTGCATTTAAGCCTACTTGCGAGTAGCAAACCATCTTTCAAAAACAAACACGAAATGTTTTGTTCCAATTCAGGCAACCCGGTCTATACTTGTATGCTATGCACATCACATAGTAAATCTAGGCTAATAACCGGAAACAAGAAACATAATGTTTTCAAAAATAGATATCATGGTTAGTAGAGGCCGATCTTTGATCGGGCGAGCGGGGGTGCTCACGAAGGACCTTCCCTAGAAATCGTACCAAAGTTCCCGAGCCGAGGCAACTTTAGTGATGACGGACACGTGGCCTTAGGCAAACGAGTCAGGGTTTCCTAAATTTCCCCCTAAATAAAATATTTAGGTGGCGACTCTGTATCTGGCAAAGCAGTCCAAGTTTGGCACTTCTTTTCTAAAAATCTATTTTCTCAAAACGATTTGCCAGATTTGGACTCTTTGGTTCAGACTTAGAACCGTGACAATTTGAGAGTCCGAACTGTAGTGACCCCAAATGAACAGAACGGGACTCACCCTCCCGGGGCGTTTGGGGACGTCTACAGATGCGTGGAATGCGATCCTGAGCAGTTTTCTTAAGAGCTCTTCTCACGATTTCAGCGTAGTTAGAGTGTTCCTTTCCTCACACAATTTCAGCGTGTTTAGGATTCATTCTTCCTCTTCTCACGATTTCAACATGGTTAGAGTGTTCCCTTCCTCACACGATTTCAGCGTGTTTCGGATTTATTCTTCCTCTTCTCATGATTTCAGCGTGGTTAGACTATTCCTTTCCTCAAACAAATTCAGCGTGTTTGGGATTTATTCTTCCTCTTCTCACGATTTTAGCATGGTTAGGGTGTTCCCTTTCTCACACGATTTAAGCATTTTTTGGATTTGTTCTTCTTTATCTCACTATTCTAGCGTGCTTAGAGTATGTCACCTTATTCATCTACTACATTATCTATCGCATTGCCCTGTGCACCTTATATCACACTGTTTTGTGCACCTTGCATCACACTATCTTGTGCATTTCACCTATATCGCACTATCTTGTGCACTCATATCGCACTGTCTTGTGCACCTGCATCGCACTGTTTTGTGTATTCACCCTGCATTGCGCTGTCTTGTGCACCACATCGCACTGTCTTGTGCACTTGCATCAAACTATTTTGTGCACCTGCATCGTACTATTTGTGCATTCACCTCACCCACACTGTCTTGTGCACTCCTTGGGTCTAGGGACCTTAAATCCTCTAAAGGTGCAATTCCTTTGGTGTTTGTTGTGCCCAAATGAGTTCAAGCGGTCTGGTATAGCCACCTGACTGTATTTGTAGTGAGTTCCTAGGAGACCAACTGCGACGGTGGAAACTGGAGTTCGAATGGCCGAGGCCTAGAACTCAAAGGTTCAAAATTTCTGAGACTAATGTCTGGTTTGAATGTCCTGGGGTGTATCCTCGGCTTGAAATCTGTATGGCAACCCCATAGGTTGAGGTAGCTTATATACGCCTCAATTCTGGATACTGAACTAATCTAGTCTGTCACCCTGTTGAAGAATAGGGAAAGTTGCAAACATAGTCAGTGAGAAAAGTAGTACCTGTGGTTTGGAAGCGCAACCAAGAAGAAGAGGAAGATCCATAGTATTATAAGGTGAGTCATCACCAATTGCCCCTATAAGGTACTTTCACTTCCTAGCTACTATATCGAATTTATTATCTATTACTTCTATTACATTGTAGAAAAAGTGATAAAAATTAGTTATAGGGTTTGAATGGAGTAAAAAATGGAATGAAAAAAGACGGTTTAAGGGACTGTTTTGGGCTGCTTTAGGCAATATAAACAGTACTCTGAACAGTAACAATGGCTGGACTTGTAGTTGTCCTGTGTAGTTAAGTGTAAAGTCTATCTTTATGTTTAATTATTTTTTATTATCCCTAAGAGCAATTTGTAGGGTTGTGTGAGACCTCCTTTGAAGTTTGAGAGACTGATGGTAAGAGAAGCAGAAGTGCTCAATTGGTATTAATTGATTTTCGACGATTTGGTTTCAAGAAAAGAGTGAAAGTTCTATAGAGATGTGTCGCTTTTGCAATTTTTTTGAGTTTATGGTTGGAAAGGAATGCAAGGATTTTCAAGGACAAGGTTGAGAATGTTGATTCATTTTGGGATAAAAGTGTCATTTGTTGTTGTTTTGGGTGCCTACCTCCCCTTCTTTTATAAAGGTTCTAGTTTTTTTTTTTTCTTTTTTCTTTTTTTTTTTAATTTCTGAATATTGGAAAGTTGTTTGTGATGTTTAGGTTCTTTTTTAATTTAACAATTGTCTTCATTTAAGAGGACTTCTTCTCTTCTTCTGTTTTCCTTTTTTCATCAATAAAATATCATTTTGCTGTGGATCAAAAAAAAAAAAATAGGTGAGAGAAGCATTCTGACCTAAATGGATTGAAAACCTTCTATGTTTATTGTGGATGCAGGCAAACTGCTGTCCTTTTGACTCTGGTTCTATTTGACATCCTCTTGTGGTATCTTTTCTACTTTTCACATATTGTAGAAACAACCAATTGCTTTCCTTTTCTAGTCTAGTTGTGTTTTAGCTTCTCTTTTATATTTGTTTTACTTTTTCAAGAATTGTTAGATCCTGGGAGTTTTTCTTTAATAAAGATCATGTGCTTATTTTGCGGGAAAAGAAATTGCTTAGTTTTGATGGTCAACACTTGGAGCATTGGTAGGCTTTGAACTATTGATAAGTTGTGTATTCCTTGAAAACAGAGCAAGGAAGGAAAACCTTGTGCGGGCTATTGAGCATGAATCAAATGGCAATACTACTACTGCTTATGAGTGCTATCAAAAGGCTGTTGATATCTCACCTTCAGTGGCATATGAACTAATTCAGGTAATAACAGGCATTGCTCTTTTGACATTATTATAAACTGGCTCCAGATGGATTAAATGGCAGGTTCACAGGACATTATCTTAAATATATCTTTTTTCTTCGTAGCAATACGTGATGTTTTCTCTTTTTCCATTACATGGTTGTGTGTTAAAGGCCTTAAAGTACATTCTGTTGTGGCTCCTTATGAGGTAGATGCCCAAATGACGTTTTTGGCAGTCAGCAAAAAGGTTGATGTAGTTGTAATTAAGGACTCAGACCTCATTGCTTTTGGTTGTCCCAGAGTAAGTTTTTGATTAGTTGTTTAGAGAGTTTACCCTAAACATGATATAGTTGTCATTCTTTTGCTGGCCTTTGTATGCTTATTGCTTTAATTTTTGTTTCTGTTTCGTAGTGTAAACAGAATCCTTTTTCTATTTTTTCTTCTTATTGCAAAGTTTTTTAATGGATACTTTAATCATGTCATAAATCTAGATCATCTACAAGATGGACAAGTTTGGGCCAGGTGTTGAATTTTGATACTCTATGCTACAACAGAACAGAGAACTAAATCTTACAGGATTTACTATGCAAATGCTTCTTGAGATATGTATTCTGAGTGGGTGTGACTATTCGCAGTCATTGCCTGGAATGGGCTTGAAAAAGGCTCATGCACTAGTGAAAAAGTTCAAATGTCATGACAAGGTGAGTCATTAACAAGGAACCTAATACTTGCACATGTTTGCTTGATAGGTCAAGAAATGTTGTTTTTCTAGTGTCGATTAAAGTAAAGCAATGCTTAGGGTTGGATTTGGTTCAATGATAATCTCTACCAATGTAATGTACTGTTTCCTTGTATTTGCTGGTGAGGTTTGATTGAGTTTGATCGACTATCAATTACAGGTAATCAAGCATTTAAAATACAGCACCGTTGCTGTATCTCCTAGCTATGAAGAATCATTTAAGAAAGCTGTACTGACTTTCCAGCATCAACGAGTTTAGGACCCTATGATCGAAGATATTGTACATTTGTCTGACCTACCTGATAATGTTGGCGATGATTTAGACTTCTTAGGCCAATATCCTTGATTTAATGCTAATAGTAATTTGATGCTTTGCTACATATGTGGTTCCACTATGTCTCAGTTTTTTTTGTATCAAACCTTAACAAGGGACACATCGATACCTCAACATATAGAAAAAGGAATAGCAAGAGGTGATATTAAACCTTTTAGTAGAATGCCCTTTCAGGTAACATATTTTATTTTTTTTCCCTCCTTGTAATAGCAGTAAGAACTTATTTTCTGATTCTTTAATATTTTTATGTCCTAAGCCACATTTGTTTCTCTAGAATCAAAAATATTGGTTTTGCTTTCACGTCACTTCTACTTCATCATGTCACTTCTTCTTTAGGGAATATACATAATTTCCTTTAGTTCAACTCAGGTGAATGTTTTGTGCAGGGTGTATACTTTAACAAAATTATGAGGATGAATTGTTTACAACCATATTGGTGTAATAGGTGAAAGTGCTCTTCTTTATGTCATTCAGCCCTGCAGAAATATGCATAATTTCCTTTAGTTCAATTGTGATAATGAATTCTCCATGCCACTCTGCCCTGGTGCAATATGCATAATTTGCTTTAGTTCAATTTTGTGTTGGGAGTATACGTAAACCAATGATAAGTTGTTTACAGCCATATTGGTGTGTGAAATTATTTATGAATAAGATAAACAGATAGGATAGGTTAATGAAATCAACAAGGGCTTTATCCAAACCTGGGTAGGATACATAGTTTTTTTTTATTTTATTTTAACATTTGTCCCCATCTAGAGCTATTTTAGATGGGAAGACAAATTTGCACTATAGTCCATAGTGGAATGAATTCTAGAGAGAACACTATGTTCAAGGGCTGCCTCCTTGATTGTTATCAACTCTGTATGACTATATACAATGATGTGTTTTAATTTTAAATTTTGTTATTCATATTCAAAAACTTTTTCAAAGTTTTTTGTTTCATGTTTTGTGTCACAAAACTGCCACCAAATTGTTACAGGGATGAAACATTCTGAGTATTTTATTTATTTTCTTTCCAGACATGCTCGCTTCTTTTGTGGTAGAGAAAGTTGTTAAATCTTTACCAAAGTGATTGTGAAACTAAAGTTGTAATAAGGGGTGTATGTTTGGAAAATGACAGAAATGTTTTTTGGAAGAAGAATAACATCTTTGTAATTTAATGTGATGTGGATGGCATCATCATACCATATTGCAAATAAAACCTACAGTTTGCTTAACATTTATGCATTTGGGTTTAACTTCAATTTGTTGTCTTTTTTTAATTTCTGTTGTCTAACAGGTTTTGTTCTTGAATCTTACATCTTTTGAAAAACAAGGAGTGAACAATGGTGCTGGTTTGGTGGTCGATAGAACTTACCATCTGAAAGATTTTAAACCTGAAGGTGAAAGGAAAAAGCTAGATTTGCCTGCATAGAAAAATCTTCTTACAAACTACTTTTGTATCCATTTTGTCTAATTTTTTAGCTTTAAGGATGCTACTTTGGTTTTTGAAATAGTACTGCCCCAAAATTACTAAAGTTTTCTTTGTTTCAGTTGATTTTTGTTTTACAGCTACCATATTGCAGTTGATTTCTTAATTTCAACCCAAATGCTTCCTCTAAAAGACCTAAAGATACCATTCTCATAGTGAATTAGACAATTTATGTTGGATCGTACCCTATGTACTGCTGATATGTCCTGTTATCATAATTGCATAGTAGTTGTATATTTTGTTTATGATGATTTTACTGTATTAAAGAAAAATGACTATAGCATGGTTGAAGTCTAGAAGGTGCCAATTTACACTCTTCACTTGAAAGTTATAGCACAAAAAAGCATGCTTATGGTGCAGTTATATTGTTGATACGATCAAGGATCCATTAGAAATCACAGATGTGTATAAAATGATGAAAAGAATGATTTGGCTTACCAATGAATGAGGTAGAGGCCATGTATATATAATAGATTCATGATATAATTTAGAAAACGATATAAATAAGGCAATAAATCATTGATTGGCACAATCACAGATTATCTACATAATACTAAAAATAAAAAGGTTCTATATACTTTAATTTCTATATTCAACACTTCCTTTTAAGCTGGTGTGAAGATATTTAGCAATCACAACTTGCCAGTGGATGACTGGAGCAATGTCGGTCCTACAGACTTTGTGAACATATCTGCTAACTGCTGACAAGAAGAGACAAACGATGGACTCACAATACCAATCCAAACCTTTTCTTGAATGAAATAATTATCAACCTCTATATGTTTAGTACGCTTAGGAAGGACAGAATCATTGGATAGCATAACATTAGACTTGTTGTCACAAAATAAAGAGACAGGACCAGTTTCCTCAAAACCCAACTTTGCTAGGATAGAATGAAGCCATAGAATCTCACATGTTCCCTATGCCATAGCTCAACACTCAGCTTCTGTAGAAGATTTAGAAACAACTGCCTACTTTTTACTCTACCATGATATAAGATGATCACCATAGAAAGTATAGAAGCCAGAAGTAGAACGCCGATCAATTCTAAATCTTGCATACTCAACATTAGTGAAACAAGAGAGCCTAGATTGAGGAGCGGCTATAAAGATTAATCCCAAGCTAGGAGAGGTTTTCTAATATCTCAAAATGTGATGAACCGCATCAAGATGTTCTATACGGGGTGCATGCATGAATTGTCTAACAACACTGACCGCAAATGTCAAGTCAGGTCTAGTGTTGGTCAAATAAATTAGATGTTGAACAAGACGCGAAAACATGCCGGAGTCCTTTAACAACTAGCCAGACTCTAATGTGAGCTTGACATTGGGATCCATAGGAGTAGAAACAGGTTTACTAGTATCCTGAATTAGGTCAAGAGTGTACTTTCTTTGAGATGAGGAAATTCACTGTCGTGAGTGAGCCACCTCAATCCCAAGAAAATACTTGAGACTCCCCAAATCCTTAATATCAAAGGTGTGCCCTAAATTCCTTTTTACTTGATTAATGCCTACAAAATCATCACTTGTGAGAATAATATCATTCACATAAACCAACAAGACAATACACTGGCTGACTGAATTATGACGGATGAAGCAAGTATGGTCAGACTGGCACTAAACAAACCCAATAGAGATGAAGCTAGAACTGAAACAACCAAGCCAAACTCGTGGAGACTGTTTCAAGCCATACAAAGACTTGTGCAATCAACACACTTTCCCGAATACGCCCCCTCAGCCCGAAAACTAGGAGGAGGTGCCATATAAATGGGATGCTGCAAGAGAGATGAGAAGATGAACTAAGGTAAGCTTGGCAATAGGTGCAAAAGTGGTTCTAAAATCCTTGCCAAGAACCTGGGTGAAGCCCTTGGCCACCAAGTGGGCTTTGTAACGGCCAACAAAGCCATCAACTAGATATTTAATAGTGAATACCCATTTACAACCGACAATACTCTCGCCAGAAGGTAAAGGAACCAAATGCCAAGAATGATTTTGTTCTAAAGCTGTCATCTTAGCCTGCATAGTCTCCACCCATTTAGGATTCTAAAGGGCTTCTGACACAGAACGAGGAATGGCCTCTGATTCAAGCTTGCCAAGAAAAGAGCGATAGGTAGGGGAGACCCTATCATATGAAATATACTGGGAAATTGGATGATTAGTACTATTCATATAACCCCAACGATTCGGAGGATGTTGATCCCGAGGGAGATTACGATGAGGAGGTGGAGGGGATGTATGTACAAGAGAAGAAGTACCTGACCCAAAGATCAGAGAGGTAGTATGGGTGAAGTAGACGAAGGTGGAAAATGAGGTGGGGGGACAACCTCATCCGTAACCTCATCTAAAATAGGAATAGGGCGAACACTAGAAGTAACGGGAGTGGAAGCCTACAAAGGAGGGTTAGTACCAAAAAATGGGAGATCCTCACAAAAAGTAACATCCAAAATGTAGTGGAAGTGACAAGACACCGGATCAAAACACTTATACCTTTTGACATGCATGAATACATCAAAAAGACCCAATGAATAGATGTGTCATCTAACTTTGTACGAACAAGATTCCGATCCTGAACAAAACAGTTACACCGAAAGACATGGGCTACGAGAGAATATAGAGTAGTGTGGGGCACAAGAACATGAAATTGGGTAAGACCGTGTAACACACAACTAGGGGTCCGATTAATAAGATATATAGCGGTGAGGAGACCCATATGCCAATAGGACTTAAGGACACTTATACCACAAAGGAGGCACCGCACAACAGATTAATATGACGATTTTTACGGTCAACAATACCATTTTGCTTAGGAGTTCGGGGAAATATAAGTCGTTGGAGATACCAGCCTGATTAAGATGGGAACGAAAAGCATTAGAAATACATTCCCTACTATTATCAGAATGGATATTCCTAACAACTGTATGAAACTGAGTCTTAACCATTTGCAAAAACTGAACAAAAATGAGTAACACGTCAGACTTACAACGAAACAAATATACTCAAGTGCATCTAGTGTGATCATCAATAAAGGTGGCATAATATCTATGGGCAGAAAATCTAAGAACAAGAGATGGGCCTCAAACATCGGAATGTATAAGGTCAAAAGCCCTAGGGGCACGAGTCATATGAGGTATGTAACCGGTACGAGTATGTTTAGATAATTTGCAAACCACATAACGAAACTTAGAATCTTTGCAAGCTTAATTTAATAAAGGAAAAAGTTGACATAAGTATTGAAAATTGACATGACCTATACATGCATGCCATAATTCTAAAGTTTGAACATTATTAAAAACACAAGACATAGAAGCAGGCAAAATAGATGCTTGAAAACTAGCTAAAATAGAATAAGGTTGGTCCAGTGGATCCCCAAAGTAGTAAAGTCTATCGTTCTCATATCCCTTGCCAAAAATCCTCTTCGAACTCAAGTTCTGTAATAGACACGAAGAAGGTAAGAAAATAATAGCATAATTGAAGGACTTAGAAAACCAACTAACGGCTAGTAGATTATATGCAAAATTAGGAATATGCAAAACAGAGGAAAGAGTAATATCAGGAGATAAAGAAACTTGACCCTTGTGATGAATTAAGGATAAAGACCTATCAGCAGGACAAACAGATTGGTCTATAGTAATAGCAACGGGAGATGAAAGAAATGAAAACTCACCCGTCATATGATCATTAGACCCAGAATCTAAACACGAGGGCAATAAGATCGTTGCCTCAACTCAAGATGTAGTTTGAAGCAGCGAATCTTGAATTGAACAGGAGCCCCACAATGATGACAGGTAACTGAACCAATAGAACCCCGAGAACTAGAGTTTGCGTCAAAGGCTATCTGGTCAGATAAGACAGGAGTCACTAGAGTAGTGGTGTCCTGAACCAAAAGCCGACGACGCTCATCACTATCAATGGTAGTGAATTCCTCATAATGGGATTACATGGGCGATGTATTTAAAATCTAAGTTTGAAGAGATTTAAATTCTGAGTTTAAACCCATCAGAAACTGGTACGGGTGCTGGCAGGCAAGATGGTAGAACGCAAGAGCGGCGACATCTGTAGGTGACTCAGTCACGGGCTCATATTAAGCCAATTCCTTCCAATGGGCCTAAAGGTATCCAAAGAACTCTAACACTGAGAGACCCAAAGCAAACTGGAAGGTACGAGCAATGTCCTGATAGAGCTCAAAGATGCAGCATTATTATGAGCATGGGCATACATTTGAGACAAGGCACGCCAAAGACTCAAAACTGTGTTGCAATAAAGAAATATGTGGTAAATATAGTCCTCCATAGAGTTGAACATCCATCCTAGAATAGTGTAATTATCTATATCCCATCGGGCACAGGTAGGATCTTTTGCTGGAGGCTAAATAGAAGATGAGAGCCAATGGGTCTTTTCCTTTCCCCCTAAATAGAGTTTAAGGGAGCTGCCCCAAGCAATAAAATTTTTTGCATTCGACACCACACTCGCAATGCGATGAACAGGAGTGTGATGAGAAAGAGAAAAATCAAAATTCACCGGGATAGGTTTTGTGGGCATATCAGAAGAAACAACAAGGAATGGATCAGTCATGTGGATTAATAAGGGCTGGAAAACACAAAATAACAGCAACACAGTCCAGAAAAATATGAGAAGTCGAAAAAAGCTCAACGGCTATTCTAAATAAATGCTACCGAACAAATCTAGTAGTCCACTAAATAAAAAAAAAAGGGTCAAAAAAGTGCTTAATACATCAGCACCACACCCTAAAAAAGGAAAAATAGGGACTGAACTGCCGTAAAAGAGCTGTCGAAGCATCTGTGGCCATGAAACACCCTGGTCGGTAGCCAACAAGACCCTTGGCAGTACTAGGGTAGCCTGCCGAGGGGTGTAGAGGGTTGGGTAGGTGGTTTTGGGGGGTCTAGGTTGGCTGGATGGGGCTGTCGGGTGAAATAGAGGACTGGAAGGGGATTGTTGAAACTTAAAGAGAAAGGAAGAATATGAAACGGTGGTTGGGCAGTGGGGCAGAGCTGCCGACAGTGGCTGGGCAGAGGACTAGGGTTTTTGAATTTAGCTCTGATACCAAAAATGATGAAAATAATGATTTGGTTTACCAATGAATGAGGTACGGGTCATGTATATATAATAGATACAATTGAGGAAATGATATAAATAAGGCAATAAATTAGTAATTGGTACAATCACAGATTATATACATAATACTAAAAATAAAAAGATGCTATATACTCTAATTCATATATTCAACATGTATGTGTATTTATGTTCTGAGGATGTTGATCAGTGTAGCTAGTGTTTCTCATAGTTTTCACTGTTTTTTAGTACGTGCAGTGCCATTTGTTTTCCTTTAACAGCTATAGGTTTTGCTTCTTTTGAAACAAAAATGAGATTTAGGGCCCCTCGAAGTGCACCTAAGCACCTATCTCCAATAAATGAAACTTCTAGACCTGTAGAACATGTCACCAAGGAGGCTGCTGCTTGTAAAACAAATTGTTCACCAGCATCCCTGCTTGACTCCAGATATCTAGCAATAGCCTCTTCTCCAGATGACTATGTGAGTTATTCAATTTGGAGCTACTACATTTCCATCAATATTAGTTGTTAGTGAGAATTCATCTTATGTTATTCCTAACTTCATCTTTTCTTTTAGGTGATTGTGTTGTAACAGAATCACCTGAGAGCTTGGAATCTCCAAGGGATGGTAAGGATATAACTTCCGCTCAAATGGGCCTAAAGATCAGTTATAAAATGATACTAATTTATATGCTCATAAACTAATTAAAATTGCATGGTAAAAAAGATACTTTGGGTGCCAAGAGAAGTTCACTAGATCCTTTACTACAACAGTCCAGGCATTCAACACATAAAGCTTGTATGACATTGCACAAGGAGTTTGAATGGAAGTCTACCTCAGATGTAGATGAGGGTGAAACTAGAATACAGAATACCAAGGTCACCATGAGAAGTTCATATTTTCAATAGAAGTTGGCAAAGGAAAATGATGAAGAGAATCAAAATGAAAATCTCTTAGGCAAGGAAGATGTCTCCACAAATAAATGTGAGAATGTCAATCCTGATTGTAAAAATAAGTCTGCTTCAGTTGTAGGTGAGGTCAAAACTAGAATAAAGAATAGAAAAACTATGGTGAGGAGTTCTTATTTTCCACATAAACCTGTAAATGAAGGTGATCAAGACAACAGACAAGAGAAACTTTTAGTCAACGCTGATCTTACAACTTCTACATGTGAGAATGCCATTCTTGAGAGTGCTTCTTCTGATGATAGCTACTTTAACAGCTCAATTTGAAAAGGAAGGTTGCCCTGTTAATAGTAATCAAATGGTAGTGCTTTCACTTTAGTGTATATATCCTTTTTTTTTTGGTAAATAAGTGTGTGTGTGTGTGTGTGTGTGTGTGTAGTGTATATATTCTTGGTTTGTATTCTTGTGTATTTCTACTAATATGTCTCAAATTGATACTATCCAATTTCTTTCTCTTGTTTTAGGAAAACATGAATTATAAGTGCAGTCGGACAAATGTTTCTCTTCTAATTTGAAGTATGTATCACTGTCAAAGTGCTACTTAATGAATTAAATGTTAGAAACTAAAGCCTGATATTTGTGATAAGAAACTCATATGCATGTCTCATTTAATTCAAATTATATATATATATATATATATTCTATTTGCATAAAAAACTATGGTTATACCAGAATCCCCAAAAAATGATTACACATGATTTATCAAGTTACATACTGATGGTGATTATCTTATCCCTATATACTTTGTCCTTTTCCAGGTGATATAGTCTACAAGAAGAGCAAGAAAGAGTAAATTTAAGGATTAAGGAAACAATCAAAATCGGATGTGGTCATGCTTTCAAGGCAGGACCTATAGAAACCAAGCATAGTCGTGTTTATAGTCTTAGTAGAGTTTTATTTATAGTCATTCAGGTTAGATATTTATTTGGTTTGTTTCCCATATGTTTTATAGTGTTTTGTTAGGGGTATTTTGTTAATTTGCATAATTTTTTGGACATGGGCTATATGGTTTGCCCATGAATTGTCATATGGGTCAAGTTATACGATTAGTTGTTATTTTATGGGTTTAATTTGATTTTAGATAGTTTATGAAGTCAGCATTCTTCCTTGTATGGCCCTCCCAGATTTGTTGGTAGGAGGGTATGGAATAGTATCTATGGATGTAAGTGTGGACGTAAGAGTGGATGTAAGTGTGATGTGGGAACATGGGGACGGGTATTGTGCAACGACAATGACAAGAATTGGAATGGGAATAGCCAGTAATGTTAGTATGGAGTTGATGAGTACTAGCAACATTAGGAGTTGAGGTTTAGAAAGGAAATCAAATCATATTACTAGTAAGAGTTCTATAATAGCTATATAAAGCTATACAATGTTTCTGTTTGAATAGCATTGAGTTATTAGGTAATTTTAAGAGTTTTAAAGCTTTCTTGTGAATTGTGTGACGAATCTAACCTTGGTGTGAGGAAACCTAGGTGGTAGGAGTTGAGTTTTAAATAGGAAATCAAATCATATTACTAGTAAGAGTTCCATAATATGTATATAAAGCTATGCAATGCTTTTGTTTGAATAGCATAGAGTTTTAAAGCCTTCTTGTGAATTTTGTGATGCAAATCTAACCTTGGTGTGAAGAAAACTACGTTCTATGGTTAGAGAAGAGGCAACAGTTTCAGACTTTGAATGAACAAATGATCCTATGGTGTTCTATAATTGGCTTGCTTCGATTGAGGAGTTTTTGTGATTGGTATGATTGGGGGGATGATCAGAGAACGATATTTGTTTAGATCAAACTTGTAGGTTTGACATTGATATGGTGGGCATGGTGTTAAATGAGGTATTTAGACACTGGAATTGCCATCAATAAGTACATGTTTAAAGATGAAAACTATGGTTCAAGAGAAGTATATGCCTTCAAATCATCATGAAAAAGTCATGCAAGCGACTCTTTAATTCTACGCATTGAAGCACAAACATCTATCTAAACTCTGCTTTCTAGTGTCTGATGGGTTCAGTTTTTTTCCTTGGACACAATGGGGACACTTGAGACATATTTAGGACATGTGGACTGCAGTGTCAAAATAATATTTTAAAAACCTTTAAATGGACTTAAAAGTGTAAAAAAAAAAAAAAGTTGAAAGAATAAAACTAAATAAAAAAAATGATTACAACAGTTTGTAAACCCTAGCCGGTCTTGCATTTTTATCATGAAGAAATTATGCCCTAGCAAAGCTTTTGAAGGTCTTGAAGTCCTAGCGAAATTGCCGAAAGTCCCTTATGAAGCCAACAAGCATGTCGAATGCCCTAGCAAAGCTTTTGTGGGTTGATTTCTCTCCTTCGTTTAAGTTCTTTTCTCTCTCCCTCTTCTTACTTCGACCTTCTCTCTTTCTTCGTTTGCCATTCAAAGTTATTTTTCATAGGTCAATCCCATAGCTAAGGTCACCGAAGAAGAATGTAGAGGTTTTGTTTGGTGCAGCTTTTTCAGAAAGCAAAAACCAGAAGCATCCCTCATCCAGCTTCCAAATAATCATCTTTTTTTAGCTTAAAACATTTTTGATTATCTTAACTAGTTTTTTTCTTATTTGTTGTTTATCTTTTCTCATGGGTTTGTTCACTTTAAGCTACATTGAACTTGTCTTAATATTGGAAATAAGAAGGGCTGAAATTCGGTCGACATTTTAAGCTGAGACATGCTTTGGCTAAGTTTGTTCTGCTATTATAACCTCTGGCTAGGTGTGGACTCATCGCAGCCATTTCTAGCTTTCATCCTTGATATTGAATGGTTTATCCTCATAGCAATCATTCCATTAATTTTCTTATGTGTTCATGTACTGCATTCGACTATAATTTGATTCTCTTATCTGTTTCTACTTTGTTTAATTATTCTATATTGTCGTTATCAATTATGTACTGTCTCCAACATTTGTTTCTCTAGAAGAATAATAGACTTAATATGTTTCTCTGGTTCAGGTAATAGCATTTCTACCCTTGATGATACAGTTACAGAGACAAAGGCTGAAGGAGGAGAGTTGGGATGTAACATTTCCCATTTAGCAAATTATTCTAACATAGCAGAGAAATCAATGGAAAAGTTTGTTTTTGTGATATCATCATTCAGGTGCTCCTCATCTGGTTCTCGTGCTAGTGGACTCTGTGCCCCTCTAAAAGATGTGCAGAACACATGTACTAGTAGGTAATGTTGTTTGACCTTGATGCTAAAGTTTATTGCCCCTAAACAAATCCTTTTATGAGCATCTTAGTAATTTGTATGTGCTTGTTGAAGGTCAAATGTTGGTGTGGATTTAAACAAATTTGCATATGCACCAACTAATCGGAAGGCTTCCTCAGCACAATGCAGACGCTAAGCTTGGATAGATATTTAAACAGAAATTTGTTCTGGCACAACTCATGGTTTTTCAATTTAGTAAAGCCACACTCTTAAATGTTGTCATTCTTTGGTGTCTGTAAGTTTGGCATTTCCTTTCTTATTTCTTTTGTTTATTTATCGTTCCACTTTTATGTTAGTTTAAACTATTTCTGATATCTTTTATGTAGAGCTTACTACAATCAAAGACTCATTTTGGATTTGTCGAGGCCTTAGATTATGCTGCCACCTGTGTGATTCATTACCTTCGCATCATAAGCTTGTAGGTTGAGATATGGCAATGCCTTGTTTTTGTATATTCAATTATCTAGAGCTTATGGATAATAACAATATAGTACTCTCTCTGTAACTGTTACCATGTATGCATTGTAGCCTCTTGCTTCACTGGGCTCAAAAGATTGCAGTTCTCTTTAAAAGTATTTTGTTTGCTGTCAAGTTATATTGTCTCTTTCACTTCTAGATTTTAGGGTGTCATTCTTGTATGCTAATGGATAACGATCAAGAGCTTGTATTAAATGACATTTTTCTATTTACAAAATTTTGTGCATGACTACTGCAATAGAACTGTTTGAAAGGTTCTTGTTTGAATACTGTGGTATTACTAAATTTCTGTTTATTAAACCTTTTTGGGCAAAAGACATTTTCCTAGTTTGAGGTAGCGTGGTGTAATGATATTGTGTTATTGAAAATTAGTGGTTGAATTCTCTTTGACCAAATTGTTATTGTTTCAATAAACAAATCACTGCTAAATCTATACCACGAGAAACGTAAATAATGACTTGTCTGTGGACAGGAGTGGAAGGCAAAGCCCTGTATACATTGACGTTAATCAAGGTTGGCTTTTGTTTATTTGGGCTCATCCTGTGTAGTTGCTTCCCTAAGAACTTTGGAGGCCCAATTATTTTCCTTTTCAAATCAAACTTAAGAACCCAAGTACAGTTGGATATTATTGTTGAACTTTGGGTTAGGCTGCTTTCTCAGAAAATCCAAAAATAAATTCTACACTTTCAACGACTAGCTCGACCCAGTTTATTGTAAAAGTATATGTATCTATAACAATAATACTACAAACACAAAAAAGTGCACATAATGTAGTGCTTGGCTGTTATTAAGTCCCCAATTGTTTAAACAACACGGATTCAGTGCTCTAAATTTGCACTACTAATGCCAGCTCTGATGAGCAGGCAATGCAAGGAAAAAAAAAAAGAGACCAAACTATCCCATCAGTAGTGGGTCTACATCAGTGCCACGTCATTAGTGGTCTATTAGTGGCCTAAAGCATTTTTGTTGTTTAAAAGACTTGGGGTTTTTTGGAAATGGGTCTAACAATGTATATTTATGTGCAATCTCGTCTTGCACACGATGTAAACATTCATACATACAAAAAAGAAAGAATGCAAATGGAGACCAAAACACCTTTCCCAACTTGAGTTTTGATATCATGTTAAGTTACCAGTTGACCCAAAAGTTAAAGCTTTGAGGAAATGGACCTAATAATATATATCAAGCTCATCGACAATGGCAACAAAGCATTCTTCTTGGTGGAGTGTTGACTCCATCAAGGATGAATGCAATGTTGAGATAACCATATTATGTACTCTTCTGTGCTGGTGTTGTTTTTCCATCTATAATGAATCTATGAAAGTTGTTTATGATGATTGGGGTTCTAGATTATTGAGCAGGGGACTGTTATCCCCAACTTCAATTAGAGTGGGGACAGCCTTTTGTTGATGCTTGTAGAATTCAATTGTTTGTGTACAATTTGTTCGTTTTGCTAAGCTAATCCCTTGAGAGAGCATATTATAATGTCTAACAGTTTTAGCTCAATTGAAGGGTAAGCTATGTAGGAAAACATATATGTGCAAACTAAGAAAGAGTTGGAAGGTTTATTGGAGATTATTTTGCTTGAGATTGCTTCTAAAAGTCTTTATTGACTATCAAGAGACGAAAAAGATCCGTACAATCGACCTCACTTGATTGAAACGCAAGGTGTAATTTGATAGTTTACTCCTAAAGGCCACCCTCACCTTATGCTTCAAAGCTTCTTTTTTCCTTCTCTTATCTGCAAACCAAGAGTTGGGATTGGCTTTTTGTGAGACTTTGAGAGTTTGATTTGAAGCTTTAGTTGGCTCAATTCAATTACGATTGCTACCTGCTTAAAGGCTTTTCATTCAATAAGAGTTTCCATGTTAACCTCACCCCACTGCCATTTATTGCCAACCCTCCTGTTAGGAAAATTTTCTTTGTAGTTTGTATAGCTTGAAATTTAAAATACTTAACAGTCGTATTTTAATAGGGTATGGCTTCTGTCCAATCCGGGATCGGACTGGACCGTGCTGTTGGACCCGTGGGGGCCCACTACAGGTTCCGTTTTGATAATCTGAACCGTCAATGTGTAAAACTCGTCGAGTACTATACGCCTGTAAAAAATCACGTTAATCGGATATCGATAGCTATATGATCAAATCAGTTTCGTGTTAAAAAAATTGGACGGTGAACAAATTAACGATTGACAAAAAACTGTTTTGATCACATAGCTATCGATATCCGATCAACGTGATTTTTTACAGGCATATAGTACTCGGCGATTTCTACACATTGAACGGTTCAGATTATCAAAACGGGACCCGTGGTGGGCCCTAAAGGACCCAGCAGACTTTCCCAGTTAAAAAAGTGGTTGATAAGACTTTCCAAGTTTTCAGCTTATTTGTTCAGCTCAAAAAATCTTTTTTTTTTTTTTTTTCTTATATAGAAATTTTCCAAATCCGATGTATAAAAGACTAAAGCTTATTGTTACAATAATTAATCATTCATGTGTTTAATTCAAAACATTGTACTTAGACACTACTCTATAATTTTGTTGGGTTCTTTCGTCCATCTGTTTTGGAAAAAGATAGAGGCATCATATTTATCACCATATTTAATATATAAATGCCAGATCCTAAAAAAATGATAAATTTTTTTACACAATACTTGTATCGGTGTGGAATTTACATCATATGCATCTAGCATCATTGATCTGTTTTCTATTTGAAGGGTGTAGATATGGTTCTTAAAACAGTAGGACAAGGTTGGTAGTTTTAATCATTCCTCCTTAAACAAGTGTGGCAATTCTTATCGGCACGTAAATCATCTGTTGACTGTCTTTTGATGTTTACTTTTTGCCCTTTTCGATAGCTCCAACATTAATTCAATGAAAAGGGCCTAAGTGGAACATGCTAGTCTTGTGGAACTCTTTAGTTCTAAAGCCGTGATTGCTTGGTAGTCTTTTCATCTTCAATTTCTTTCCCAAAAGCAACGAAATGGAAACATTGAAAATAGTATATTTGTCCTTTTTCAACCAAAAAGTTTTGGATAAATTTCAAACCCTGTTTAAAGTTTATTTAAAACACAAATTATTTTTGTGATTTTAAAAATTATAAATATTTTTTTATTAAAATTTTTTATGTAACAAAAAAAATAAAATTCTTAATTACTCTTTCATATAGTAATAAAATGATTTAAATTATTAACTAAAATATATTTATGATAACATTAAAGTGTTAATTGACTTCATTATTATTAATAAATGCAATAATTTGGTTATGCAATTTAGAACTTATAGGGACATGATATAATTTCAGAACCAACAAAGAGCAATCTGTATGTTAAGTAAACTTTAGGGGGTGTACGTGTAATTTACCAAGAAGTTTTTTTTTTTTTTTGGGGGGGAGGGTAAATTATAGATATACTCCCTAAAGTTTGTTTAAAATAGATTTGCCTCCTGTGATTGTAAAAATATTATCCCACCATTTTAAATTTTAATTTTATAAAAAATGACCAATTTTATTAATAAATTATCAGTCCAATTAATAATTTTTAATAATATCATAAATTTATTTCAATTAATATTTGAGGTAATTTTATCGTTGTATAGAAGAGCAGTTAGGAATTTATTTTCTTAATTAATTCTGCTAATAAAAAATTCAGATAAAGAAGTATTTATAATTTTTTAAATCACAAGAAATAATTTATATTTTAAACAAATCTCAAAAAATATTTTTATAATTATTATTTTTTCTTTTTTTTCTTTTCTCTCTCTCTCTAAAGGATTCTCAAGTCAAGTTCTATTTTTATGGTCCACTACAAGTTATTCATTATTGTCTTGTTAGGATTTGACATATAAAATTCCGTGTTTTCACTCAAAAGAGTGATAGATTTTGATGTTTTTGCGTAAAACCAAAAAATTGAATGAAAAATATCACCCAATGATTGTCAAATTTTGTTTTAAATTTTATATTGAATTAGATTTTTATGTCACACGAGACTCCCTATATAATATTTGTAATTATCTTTGGAGATTTTTACATTTTCAATTCAAAATGCATTGGACAGGAAGGCGGAAGCATGTGAAACTATTTATTTGATTGAACTTTTTTAAATTTTTTATTTTTAATATTCATTGAATTAAAAAAAAGAAAATAATTATATCATAATTTATTTAGACACGCATGAAAGGTTGGATAATACAGCAAAAATAGGCAGAGATTGAAGTTGGAAGGCAATGCATAAGCCTAATTTTGCACATATCAAAACTTAATACCCCAAATATCAATGAGATAACTACCAAATTAGTAAAGAATATTCCTATTTATATATGCGGAAAAAAATATGGCTTCATATAATTTCTAGTGAAACTGAGTACTAGCTAGTGATATTAAATAAAAAAAAATAATAACAAACAAAAAAGCTAGTAATATAAATACATTCTATACTATTACATTCTATACTATTAGCGATTTCTAGATTGAATAATAATCAAATTTTTTACGCTTTATATATATACACACATATCCATTATTTATCTCAAATTCTATTCTTATGAGGTCGAAAGGGTAATAATAATTAAAAAATCATATTATCCCCGTGTATTGTCTATTATCCACCTTATTTATTTGTGTGTCATTTATTTTATCATCTATCTGTCTATATATCTGTTTACCTAATTTACTTATCTATTCATATCATTACCACCGCCTATCGTCATTGGTCCACTTTGATGATTTCCTGGTGAACTTTTCGGCAATTTTTCAGCGATGACAAATTTTTCGTTAAACGGATGCTTGCTGGCGGTGGCAGTTCAACGGTAGTCTAGCAACAGTGGGGTAAAATTTAAAAAAAAAAATTCAAATCAATAATTTGTTCTTCTCAACTAAATAATTTCATTAAACATGTCACTATAACAAAAAAAGATTAAACCTTAGACCAAATAATATATGACACATTTGTGTGGATTTTTCACCATCTCTTTTATTTATTTTAGCAATCTAGAGATCCAAAAAAAAAAAAAAAAACAAAACAAAACAAAATAAAAATTATCAAATATTCTATAAAATACTCACATGGGTGTGAGACTTACATAACACTCATGTGATATTATGTAAAATAATTAAT